GAAATTTCAATTTCGTCGATTTTGGTCGGTTTATTCGATTTTAGTCGAATTATGAAGACCCTTAGGCGCAGTGGCAGAGCGCCGGTTTATTCGGTTTTAGTGGAATTATGAACACCTTAGGCGCAGTGGTAGAGCGCCGCCCGACCCGTTTGACTGCATTGACTTTGACCCGTCTCGATAGATTCAAGTTCAAGCTTTTGACATGTGTTGGTTTAATGGCGTGCTTATTTACAAATCAATCATGTCAAAAATGACTTAGTGAAATTTTAAGTTTACATTAAAATAAAATTGAAAATAAAATAATTAAAATTAATTTGAGGTAAAAGTAAGAAAAAAATAATATCAAATAATAGTTAGTTAAAATTATATATGTTGATAAATATTAAATTAAAGTTGATGTGCCAAAATGATTTGATTTTATTATTTAATTATATAAATAATACTAGTAGATATTCTGTGCACATGCACAAATGTACATAAAATATTCTAAGTAATATTTGAGAATTTAATATTAAAATTCTAGATAAGGAACATATTACATTTTCAAAAATTTGATCATTAGGAAAAATAAATGAACGATTTTATTATTATGAACAATTGTTTATTATCATTATATAATAATAGTTTTATTGTTATTATTATTATTATTATTATTATTATTATTATTATTATTATTATTATTAATAATAAGAAACAATTGTTTATAAGATTCTAAATTTGTTTGACTATGCTATTAAAATAATTTACTAATTATTTGTAAATAAATTTTTTATGAGATAAAAAAGAAAAAGATAATATTGATGTTAATATAAATAACTTGAAACAATTGCTTATAATTAGGTAATTTATATTTATTGTTAATTATTATTAGTTGGTATTAGCAATAACTATTATGTAATATAATAGAAAAAATATATGATTACATTTAATAGGATGTATTAATGTGAGAAGTAAAAAAATATTAATGATAAATTTTGTAACCGAAAATTTAGGGAAAATTTTTAGAGATTTTATTAAATAGGTTTTATTAAATGCTATATGCTAGCAATTATATATATATAGATTAAAGATAATGGAATTAAGTTTAAGTATAATTATATTTTGAGTATGAATTAAATATCGATAAAATATTTTGTAAACAAACACCCCTAAGTATGGCTTACATCACAACTAGTAGATATCATGTGCACATGCACAGATGTACGAAAATATTCTGAGTAATATTTGAGAATTTAATATTAAAATTCTAGATAATGAACATATTACATTTTCAAAAATTTGATAAGTAGGAAAAATAAATTAATGATTTTATTATTATGAACAATTGTTTATTATCATTATATAATAATAGTTTGATTATTATTATTATTATTATTGTTATTATTATTGTTATTATCACTTCAGTCACTTTATAACCAAACTTTCAGCAGTTTTTCAGCAGCAGAGATTTATATATAGTCACTTTATCACTTCAGTCACTTTATCACTTCAGTTTTTCATATA